GGAGCGCCCCTAGTAGCGTCCTTGCTCCTAGTAGCGATGCACTTTGCTCCTAGTAGCTTCTTGCTCCTGCTCGGACCTACTGCAACACAAGAAAGCAGGATCCCGAGCTAAGCTCTTTTCCCTCCCCTCACCCCTTTCCACATACCGCACGTCGAGATGACCTGATCGTCAATGCTTACGCTGTTGCACGGGACCACGGTCATGTTGTTGCTCGTGCTCATATGGTTCATCGCCCTGCTGTCCTAGGAAGCCCAACATCACTGCACAGGGCTGGAGCAAGCAAGCTAGGTTGTAGTAGGAAGCCCAACATCACTGCACAGGGCTGGAGCAAGCAAGCTAGGTTAAGCATGCCGGGCGAGCGGAGGTTGGTCGCAATTCTCGTTGAGACTCCCGTTGGTCTCTGCAACCGTTCAGCCTCGATCTAATGCACTGACTGTGCTCCATACACTTGCGCAAACACCGTGTTATCAAAGGCTTTCCGCCGGGGAGCTGATGACGGGCATCCTGCGATCGGGCAGACATGGCTTGAAGAAGACTGTAAATCAACAGCAGCACCAACAGAATGGGAAACCGGGCTCCATCCTGGATGGGTGCACTTGTAGGAACAAGCACACTAAAGTCAATGTTCCTTTCCAAACGACCCGTCGAGTTCTGTGGCAAGCAGCACCGCAGTCCCGGGCAATGATGACCAAGCCGCTGACCACCAGCATAATTCCAAACCAATACCCCAGCAGCCTGCCGTTTGTGCAAAGTTGGACAACCCAAGGAAATGTCTTGCGTCCACTCAGAAGAGCTTCAGGCTGTATCTGTTCGTGCCTCCACCAAATTAAGGTTGCCGTCTCCTTCAATATAACTGCTGCTGACACTGCTGTGGTGATGATGGAGGTACCTTAGTGTCGTTCATCCAGGACTCAGCAGCTAGGTCAGCTTCACACCATGGGTACGGTCAATGCCTCAAGCTGCAGCCGAAGTGCCAACAAATGTTGGGATCATGAACCTCGGGGAACTGTGAGAAACGAGAAACGTCAAAACTGTTGAGTCCACCCTAGTAGCGTCCTTGCTCCTGTAGTAATGGCCTCCAACCTACTAGCTTCTTGCTACTAGTAGTAATGGCCTCGCCTCCACCCTAGTAGCGTACTTGCTCCTAGGTGGGATGAGAAGTGCCAAATCTTGTTACATGACGGTTTTTCCAAGAGCAAGGAGTCACTGCATCTGACGAGTAGCATGGCCTCAAACTCCGCCAGTCCTTTATTTAGCAAGATAGCGTTCATGATGGCCACAAAGAACATGCCTGAAGGAAAATGGACACATGTAGCCCCGTGGTAGGGCCAAACACTGCCCAATGCATCAACTTCTCCCTTGGAACCCGTTCACTGGGACACAAGCAGTACAGCTGCCGCCAATGAAGTCACAAAAGTACCCGCCTCCAACTATAAAGTAGGCAAGTGGATAATTCCACATATCCCAGTCGCCCTCGGCAGCTGCGCGAATTCGGGTTCTTTGCAAAACTGATTTGCACAGGGCCATGCCGCAATGGTCCAATCAGCAAATCTTGGCATCAAGAAAACTGACCATACGCCATCACCCTTCCAACAGCACCATCGTGCCAGGTCACCTCATCAAAGGAGGTGTGGATGACAGTGGCAGTAGATGAGAGAAAGAATCTTTGCCCAGCCTGATGACAGAATCACGGGGCGACAGTGAGGAAAAGCAGGCTTCTTTGTTTGTGTGTTTGTGTGTTTGTGTGTTTGTTTGTTTGTTTGTTTGTTTGTTATCTACCGTCCTCAGCTCCCTTCGTGTGTCAGTGACAAACATTTATATATATAGCAAGAATGATTTCTGCGTTGCTTCTTCGGTGCTGAGACATATATATGTCCCCTAACAACCTGTTGCCACAAACAAGCCAATCGCTGCCCACATAGACAGGAGGTGATTAAACCAACACATACGTAGCCGTTGCAGCATGCCCCACTGCTGCCCAGGCTCTACAAAGCCACCGCCCATGGCTAGCATCAACCCACGTAGTGCTATCCGGCTGTCACGGCTGGGGGGCGGCAAGGTCACAAAGCCGAAGATTGCCAGAGCAAGGCAAACCTTCAAAAAAGGAACACACTGTTTGGATGGTCGAGGATTATCCGCGCAAGGCTTCGGGACAACTAAGGTCGATACCAAAGCCCACCTGGGTGCTGCAATTGATGGCCGAACACGAACGTGTGCGTCTTGCATCTGCGATCACACACCCAATTATGTTAAGAGCATTTAAGAGCCTGCCTATATATTATATGACCTACATCCAACTGACTAAGTCAATGTTACCACTCTCAAGCCTCCCTGCTCCTTACAAGTGCTTGATTTGTGGGCTACGGCTACGGGATGTCTTTCACTCCGCAGCCTTTCTTCACACTCAAGTTCTTCTGTCGAAGTGCCCGAAGAAGTTGCGGCTCAAGAATTTCATTCGGAGAGATGCCATCGTCTCCTCAGCTGTGCCAACAAAGAAACGGCTCTAAACAATGAACACATGCACCAGGAAAGTTTAAGATTTGGCAAGGCATGAGCGCACGAGCATGTCCCCAGTCACCGCTGCTACCCAAGTGTCAGGTGGCTTGTTGTGCGGTCCAAACATTGGGGCCGAGACTGCCCCCGCGAACACGAGGCCTGTCACACACTGTCAAAGCCAGTTGGGAGAAAAGCATGCAATGGCATTGAGCGCCCAAGGGTTAAGGGCCTGTGCCCATCACCTTCGCGCTGCTAATACTTTCACCCAAAGTGTACGGCGCCAGCCTGATTCAGTCGAAAGGTTGCCAAAGCTACCTTTCTTGCCGAATGTTGCATCTTGCACAAGCAGCTGAGTCCACGGCAAAATGTTCCATATGACATCAAAGCCGTCCAGGGGAGCTAGGAGGGATTGTGGAGCAAAGGCATACGCAGAAACTTCTGCAAGTGGCCCGATTGCCATTGCCATGGAGAGGCCGAGAAGCCTATACCTCAATGCAACCGTAGAGAATAGACACGTGCGAGAATACCCAAGCATGTCCACATGAAGGACATTGACAGTCATCAACCACCTTCGCCAGAGCTGCTTCAGACCCTCTCTATGGTCCACCAGGGCTGCATAGCGAAGAAGTTGGAGACCACAAATGATAACTAGAGTCTTGAACAAAATAAGCGCCACACCTTGGGAAGAGAAACTCGAACACCAAGCCAGATCGATTTCTTGCCACCAAGTAACCGATAAAGGGCATTAAGGCAGGACCCCAGTTCCATCTCCTTGGCAGACTTATGCAATGCGCTTTCTTGGGCTTTTCGACGCGCGCCAATGGATCCCCCAAAAAAAGTTGAGCAAAGGCTCGGCTGAAAAGCTGATGTCTGGTGCAGCAAAAAGGGCAGTGGCATCGTCCGACTCATGGCACCGGCACCACTCGAAAAGCACCAACGGTGCAGCCCCTCGGCTGGGAAATGCGGATGGTCAGTGTGCCCCAGCTGTGGTGGGTTGGATTGCAAGGGATTGCACTGGTTGTTCCTCCTGCACGATCGGAGCCAGGAGATCGCAGCAATTAGACAAGAAATGCGTTCCACATGTTGCACAAGCCGGCAAATTGCTTCATCAGTAGAACGCTAGCAGCGTTGCTTTTGGGTGTGGACATGTTGGATTCAGAGCTTGCTTTGCAAGCGTCGAAGGCTTTCAAGACACCCCATGCCCAATGTCATCACACAGATTGAGGGCCTTTACGGACAACACTGGAGCTGATTCCAATTGGTTTCTTATTCTTGTTGAACTGATGTTCTGCTTCTGGCCCTTGGAAGCTGGCAGCCTCAAGAAATGTCCGCACAATCTTGGGGTGATCGAAGAGAGGCCCAGAGTTGCTGGAGCCTCACTATGATACAAGTTGATTAAGCTATAGCAGCTACGCAGCTGGGCAAGCCTCCTTCAGTTGGCATTATTGCTATCTTCCGGCCATGGACTGCAAAACAAAACTAGTACCCCCTAGAAAAGAGCGATCTTCTTCCATCATGAACTCTGAGCAACAAACTGGCGGCAAAGGCACCATTACAAGCTGCACTTGCAGAACTCCAGCAACCAAAGAAACTTCAAAGAACTAACAAAGGCTTGGAAGCCGAAAGCCGCCTGGAGTCAGTCAAAAACTTTCCCTCCGTATAAGTTGCTGAAGGACTGGTGTTCAACCCACCCATGCTGCAAAGTCAGCTGCTCAAGGACATTAAAGAGAAGGTTGTCAGATGTTGTCAGCATCTCAGCTGCTGGTTGCAAAGTCTTTGTCCCAGTTGGAATGGTCGTCCTAGCGAAGCTCGAAACAAGCCATTAGTTGCACTCACGCTCGCAGTCAAAACTCGCAGGACCAAGAAAGTATGCATCTTTCCGTTGAATGGCGGAATCTGGCTCGGCATTATTGAGTGGCATTCCCAAGGCATTATTGGATGGAGGTGGTTGACGAGTTGCTTGGTGATCTGGAAGGGAGTGTGAGTGGGCATCAGCTTCTGGCCTCTGAAAAAAGTGTATCTGTATCCCGCATGCTCCGGCCTGTTGTATGGAAACCGTGAATGGCCCAGCATGTGGTTAGTTGAAAGGTTTTGCAGGCTAGCCCGCCTTCACTTCATCATCATTGACGCTATCTTTGGTGGTGGCGTGCACCAGCTAAAGCAGGAGATAAAGTAAATCTTGAAATCTATAGACTGGTAATAGATTTATGTCCCGCAAACGCATATACGCCTCTAGAGAAACTATATTCAAAACATATTCTCATTGCATCCACATGAGGCCTTCAAGTCACATACTGCTCCGCTGCAAGCTTAAGAAATGCAAACAATTGGTTTCGAACCCGCAGCCCTCCTCGTATGCAATGCTTGGTGGCATTTCTTTCGCTTGTGTAAAATTTGACAAGTCCTGAGCCAACAAATTTCATATCAATCTGCTTTTGGTTTGGATTTCTTTAAGCATTCAAGAAGGACACCCAAATCGTCTCAACAAAAGGAACCGTGGTGCTTCTTGCACTGTTCTCAGATCTGCACCCGCTTGCTTGTTACACTTGGCTGGTATGGAGCTGGCATCCTCGGCCCGGCAGTTGACGCAAAAATACAGTACTGTAAAGAATTAAAAAAAAAACAACGACTTCTGTGTCGCATCTTTGTATGAATGTATGTAAGGGTATGGTATGGTATGATATGTATGTATGCGTTATACACACTCTTTCCAGGTCTTTTTCGGCACGCTGGATCAAGACTGGGCCACAGGCCCGGGATTGGGTCCCAGGACTGAAACGTGGCAGTCGCTGTAGATTTGGGTGAAAGCTCCGAGTGAAACTGACCAGACCTGGTGCAACACTTGGTGCCGAACCTGGCTCTCAAATCCAAAACATCCGGGTGAGGTGACGGGTCTTAGTGTTCAGCCCAGCACCGTCTTGCCACGAATGTTCTTTCCAACATATTTTGCTTTTCGGTCCTTTTCCAGCGCTTGAGGGGCGATAACGCCGCCTTTGGCCTTAAATCAGGCTTATGAGCTCGCAGCAACGGTTCAGAAATTGTCACACATGCTTGGTAGATTCACCAGAGGTTTGTGGAGAATGAAATGATAAGTTCCCAGCCATCTGCTTCTGGAGATGACGCATCTTGCGCTTGGTCATTTTCTGCCCCGTAGTACTGCCATTGTCCAGGAAGTTGTCCAAATCACTGAAATCTGAGTCCGAACCCTCCTCAATGGAGTCTTTGGGTGCTTCCTGTTGGCCTGGCACTTCATTCTCAGCAATGCACCGCGAGCATGAAAATGAGAGCTACAATGCCAATGGTGTGTGGAACCCAGTTTTGATTGAAATTCCGAGGCATACGGCATACCTATTCAATACCCAGCCCGGCCCAAGAAGTCGTGTTTTGGGGGAAGGGCTTTGAGGCGGACATCGCGCCTGTCATAGCCAGACTCAAACAAAAGTTTCATTACCCCACAAGTTGCCAAAACTGGATGTAGACTTGAGGCCAGAGGGGGTGAACGAAAGCTAGCCGGGCTTCCGGTGGTCTGCTGCTGGTGCTGCTGCTGCTGGTGCTGCTGCTGCCGCTGCCGCGCTGGGCGCTGCTGCGCTGGGTGCTCTGCAGGCGCCGGGTCGTCTGCTGCTGCTGCTGCTGCTGGCGCTGGGTGGTCTGCTGCGGCTGCTGCTGCCGCGGCGTTGGGTATGCTGCTGCTGCTGCTGCTGCCGCCGCTGGGTGGTCTGCTGCTGCTGCTGGTGCTGCTGCTGCTGCCGCTGCTGCGCTGGGCGCTGCAGATGCTTGGTGTGCTGCAGCTGCTTGGTGGTCCCGCTCACCGCGCGCAGGGGGGAGTCGAACCGCGGGGGGGGGGGGGGTCCATAAGATTGATTTAATCAATTATTTGAGGTTTCTGAGGTGCGTCCACCCCGTCACTTAACTTGCTAAAGCAAGAGCAACTCCAGCTAGCTAAGGCTAGCTTTCGTGACATGCTTATACAGTAATCAAATGTTTGTCATCAATACATGAGCCGTGGGCCCGAGTCTTACCAGTAGTGCGGCTGTGTCAGCAGAACCTCGGGAGTTGTTGCAACGCCATGGATGTTCTTTGTTGTGGATGTTTTCCGGGAAAGTCTTTTTCTGGCACTGTCTCCTTTGCTTCCTTCATTGATGGTTCAGTCTGTGCAACTGGGCACATGACTCATGCAGTTGTCTTGCTTTGTTCAGCGTTACTTGGTTGGTGCTCCTTGCGGCCTTTTTGCAGCCTTGTGGATGGTTGTGCTAGACCAGATGGCGCTCCTACCTACCAAGAGCACATGCATAAGTTCGGTGCTGGGCCATGCTCTAAGCCCGGAGGGGCAGCTTGTGATCATGCCTTTAGTTGTCGATGAGGGCCAACAGCCACATGTGAGAGTGCTTGCGTGGTGCTTCAGTGGTTCGCCCGCAGCTTGTCAGCCCTGGCATCCCGCTGACCAGCGCTGTGATTCCAGACAAGCCCCGTGCAGTTGGACACATTGACTGAGATGAATTTTTCCTTAGCTCCTCGTGGATTCAGTTTAGTTGGATCTCTTCAGAGGCACTTTTGACCGCACCATTCTTGAACGGAGAAGGCTGCAGATGAGACTTTGTTTGGACACTGGGACCGACATCTTTGTTGCTGCTGGTAACTTGACTTGGCTGCCTTGAATCCAATGGCTCGTTTTTTTGGTTTACATCTATTTGTGCACCCCTGGCATGTACATATCATGTCAGTGGCTTTCCAGCAGATCTAGCCCGAATTGTCCGAGATATCATCAATGCATGCCGGATCCAGAAGAGTGGAGAACAAGGCAATGGCGCAATGGCCCTCAAAAGAGTCAGGGCTGAGTATGGCAGGGTTGTATTATACGCACCTGGACTTGACCAAAGCCCCGCCCAGCATGCCTGTGAACGGGAAGCAGCTCGTTTGAGTTTTGAGCTCAACCCCTTCTAAACCCATGACTAACAAGGACGCTACTAGTAGCTCCTGGCATGACTACTAGGAACAAGAAGCTCCTAGTAGCTCCCGGCATCGCTACTAGGAGCAAGAAGCTACTAGTAGCTCCTGATACTGAACTCGCTTGAGCCCATCCCTTCCCCACTGGGCCTGCACCCTCAGGAAGCTCACAGTGCAGCAGCTGCCCAGTGCAGTAGTCTCTCAAGACACGCCGAGCGGCCCAGGTCTCATCTGGGACACCCACTCGGAGAAAGTGGTGCCGGTGGGTCGCCAACCCACAAAGCACCTGGAAACAAGTGGGCAGTCACATGGCAGTGGTCACAACTACACACAATCTTCCAACCCACCAAAAGCCTTTGCCCCTGCCACTTCTTGATTTGTCATGGATGAATGAATGAATGAATGAATGAATGGCAAGTTGTATGTGTGTATGTAGGCACATATGCACAGCAAGCCATCCATGATTCTTGATCCACCACTTGGACCAACTGTATCATCCTACCTGATGAGCCAGCTCATCCGAAGTCTCGCCGACTCCTCTTCGAATCACTCCATCTTTCACTTCAGCAGCACTGACTCCATACCTCTTCAGGATGACCTCTGCCCCGATCTTTTGAACGATGAGACTCACAGGGGCGATGAAATCCTTCAGCTCATCCAGTGGAACTGTTCCATTGATCACCAAATGAGCTCGAGTTGCGACAATGGAAGGAAACACCAGACCTGGACAGTCACACAAGGTGATGTTGGAGTCTGCAAGCTCCAAGGTCTGCAAATGCTTCGTCTTCCCAGGTGTTCGACTCATCGACACCTTTTTGGCTCCAAAGAGTGCATTGATCACGGAGCTTTTTCCGACGTTCGGATACCCCACGAAGCCCACCACGCCTTTGCGGCCTCGCAGTCGACTCTGAAGCTCTGCCATCAGCTTGGCACAATCGACCACATCTCTGTCGTCTTCCAGGGACCCGTGTGGTGGAAGTCGTTTGGAGGGCCCACTGGGCCCGCTGGCCTCGCTGGGCGTGGCCTCGGAGTCTTCCGAGCCGGGCTCGCTGGCGGCCTCGCTGGCGGCCTCGGCCGCCTCGCCGGCCTCTTCGGCCTCGCTCGGGGCGGGGGCGGCGCGTTGTTGTCGGTGCAGCTCCCGAAGCGCCGAGAAGAAAATCGCCTCAACACCAAGATCCGCCAAATAGGAGGCCCACATCTCACGCTGATGAGTTGACAGGAAATCTGCCTGGCACCCGGGAACGCGACGTATCAGAGGAGAGGAAAACTCACATGATGTTGAGAGAAACACGGTAGGTTGATAATTTGTGATACTCGGATTTAATGCTACATTTTGTCAGACTCAAGGATCACCCGGCTCCTTGTTCAACAGCAGCAAGTGCCGCTTGCCTGCGAATTGCTCAATGTAGCGCTCCAGGTCTTTACATCTGTAAAACTCTGGATCACGAGCGTCGAGGATCTGAACCAAGACATCACTGCGCTCCACACATCTCCAGAGCTGCCGCCAGAATTCCAAGTTTCGCTCGTAAGGCGTTAGAATCATTCCATCCTCCTCCTCCATCTTGGCCAGGCCACGCCTGATCACAGAGGTATGCACAGCCAAATCGATCCTATTCAATGCTCAAACCAATCCCAGCCTCCACGACAGAAAGGCTTGACCCTCCGCAGCAGCCAGCTCATCTCCATTGGCGGCCTCACATCGTCCGTATCACATCCTGACCTTTGACCACACTTCCCGGTGCCAAAGCATGGATTGTTTTTCTGTTTCCTTTGCGTACTGTGCTTCTCTGTTTGTTTGCTTTTGATTTTGCCTGTGCTTTTCGCAAGGAAAGAAGCAAGAAAGGCAATACAGAAGGGAAGGAAGAGGGGGGCAAAGTAGCACGCAAGGAAGCAAGAAAACAAAGATGCAAGAAAGTGGCGAAAGCGCCTAAACCGGAACAAACCTGCCACTTACTTCACCGGTAGTTTGCATGCTTTTGGGGGAGGGTGCCTGCCCCGGAATCATAACTTTAGCGGCTAGATGCGCTCCTTTGCATGTTAAGCCCCGCAGTGTAAGAGCATTGCAACATTGCAAACTGCCGTGCCTATGCACCATATCACACCATTACACACCACTGACAAATCAAAGGAGATGAAAGCTTCCCTGGCCAAAACATGGCAAAACGCGGCAGGATCCTACCCAGGGGTACATTTCAAGACCTCAGACCTGAGGGGAAAACACCAAACAAATTGAACTGTTATTGAACCAACAGAAAGGAAATTGTATAATGCAGTATAAGGGACGGGACGAAAACCAGCCCTCGTAGGCACTGACAACAACAACTGCAACACGAACCTCCAATTGGTGTTCGTCAGCATCACATGTCTTTACAGCAGGGCAAACATCCTTAAGGTCTTTTCCCGGAGATTTTGGTGCTACCTGTTTCCTCAAGATGGCCTTCAATGTATTCTCTCTACAGCTGCTTGAGGGGACCCGGCTAGATCCCTGAAGATAGCTTCCTTAGCTGGTGCCCCTTTTTCTTCACCAAAACTTCAACAAAACGATTTCAAAACAGCACCACCACACATGGCCTTTTTGTTTCGTCCGTTGGTGGCGGTGCGCTTCATCCCGTCACATAATGTCTTCTTCTCTGAGGTCTTTAAAGCAGTGATACACCTGCTTGCAAATAATTGTTGCACCTCTACTCTCAATGAAAGACTTCAAGGAAGCATCATGCAGCACTTGGCTTGCACAGGAAACGGGCCGGACTGCAGCATGCAGTCTACGTGGTTCTTCTATGCACCAAGCTTGCCACGGTCGACTGTCTTTACAGCAAGGCAAACATAGTCTTTCAACGTAATGATTTCTTTACAGCTGCTTGAATTGTGACAACAAATAACAAAGAGCACCACCACACATGGGCCGCAAACATAGTCTTCCAGCGTGTTTTCCAGCTAGATCCCAAAAGGTCGCGTTCCTTTGTCAGTGCCCCTTTTTCTTCCACCAACTGTGGGCAAAACGATCAAACGATCAAAAAAGGCACCACCACACATGCCCTTCAAACAGGCCGCTGTCTATCGGCATGTTTTCTTTACAGCTGCTAGGGGGACCTATCTAGACCGCAGAAGGTAGCACTCCCTTGCTGGTGCCCTTTCTATTTCCCCAAGCTATGACAAAACGACGACAAAAGGTACCACGACACATGCCCTTCAAACAGGCCACCAACATAGTCTTTCAACATATTTTCTTTACAGCTGCTTGGGGGGACCCAGTCTGCTGGCCGTTTTTCTTCCAAAGCCGTGACAAAACGATCAAAAAGGGCACGGCCACATTTCGGCCTCTCTCGGACCACGTAGACTCGACAGCGGAGGAGTACAGAAAACAGTCCTGTGCTGATACCACACATCGCCTTCATCGTTACGGTCTTTATAGCCACACACACACAATTTAACAGGCTGCTGGCCACTTAGATAAATGGTACTCCGACAACTCTGTGATGCTTATGATGCACCACCAACCATTTCGGCATCACTCGCATTACCAAATCCCTTATGAACATGCATGTTGACTATATTTTGGCCACCCTAACACTCACCGGTGGCCATGCCGTTTGCTGGGCCTCCTTCCAGGAAGGCCTCCATGGAATGGGCACGACGACCTTCCTCGCCGCAATCTCCTTCTCTCGAGTCTCTGCAGGGTCCAGGCTGGATTTGTAAATGACTTCCTCGGTCTGACAGGACTTGCTTGTGTTTGGGTTCGGTTGCAGTTCCTTCCACCGGTTCGCAACGCTGTATCCGCAAAGTCTGGACAGGTTCTAGTTCAGTCCGTTCACATTTCCTGCATTCAAGCCTTGCTTCTTTGCAGCTTAGAGTCCGTTGTGCACTCAACGGTCACTCCACGGGTCGATTGAAAGTTGGCACGTGCAAGCCTCAGTCAGTGGAACATGGTGGAACATCGTGGAACTCGGGGATCCATGAGAAGGCTCTTCATTCGAATCTTTTGTAGGAAAAAAGAACTTTTGACCAGCAAGAGCTCCTCAAGAGCTCGTCAATAAAAGAAAAAAGACTCCAGACATGAAGTGTAAAACTTCTTCACATGGGGGTTGAAATATAATCAATTTCTACATTGTTTCTTATTCCCTTTGCAGCACATGGTTGATGCCACGGGGCTCGGCCTTGGCAATGAAATCGTCCAAAGAGCTCTGTTCTAAAACAGACTTCTTCGCCTGACTTTCAGCCACACCGCTGGCATTGTAGCCTGCTTGTTGCCCGTCCCGCTTCCTCCTGTCATTCACGAGGGAATTTCCCAAGCCACCGCCAGTCTTTTTTCGTGTCATGGCTGGCACACTGTGAGCAGAAAGCTTCGGGCGCTCAAGGCAAACGAAACACTCGCTCTGGATGATGAAACAGGCGGGTTCAATCCCCAACAAAACTGGCACCTACAACTGGTCAAGCAAATGCTTCAGGAGCTTTTCAGTTGAGCATGGGACCTCATAGTCTCGAAGGCATTCCAATCGAAGCCCTTGTAGAAAGGGTGCCTGGGGTGCTTTCGTAAAAGCACACGAATGCAAGCAATGGACAGCAACTGTCCTTTTTCCATTCATTGCAAAAAGCGCTGTCCAGCGACGTCTTGAGATTTCGAGTTCCACCTTTCTTCATAGGCAATCGCTCGGATGGTTCTGACTTGCACAGGGATTTGATCAGGTCCTGAAGCCCATGAACATCCTTTCGAACCAGAAACTGGAAGCTGCAGGTATGGAGTCCTCTGCGGATCCCTTGCATTTTGGAGGGAAGGCCACCTGCACAACATCCGAGCGACCTAGCCGAACGAAAGGCGACAACCCTCTGACCTTGTTGATTCCTCGCATGATCTTCTGATATGTCCTCAGCCGAAATGAGGCAATCTGCCTTTCATGTGAAGCTTGCTCTCCCATCAGGTCATCCATGGTCGTCCCATGGTCCATCAGCTTCGTTCATCTGGGTTCCCCACTGCATCGGATATGATGACTCAAAAGGTGGATGGCCACCTTTCAAGAGCAGAAGGATTCAACATGTGCGGTTCCAGTCATCCGTTGGAGACCATCGCTAGTAGGTTGGAGGCCACCCGTTCTAGGATGGAGGCCATCGCTAGTAGGTTGGAGGCCATCACTATTTTTGGTTGTCCTTTTTTAATCAGATCTCTTTGACCTGACCTCCCAACTCACAGCACCCCGGCCGCGCAAACAAGCCAGGAGCACTAAGGAGCTCAAAGGCAAAAATCCCCAGCGTCCACCAGTCAACGGCTATATTGTGACCTTTTCAACGGGACTGCCACAGAAAGGTGAGATGATGGCTGAATTAAAATCTCAAGTCGCAGCCGACAAAGGAACATCACAAGCCGAAAACCTTTCGAAATCAATCTCAGCCTGACTATGACTATGACATGCCCAAAAAAAGAGAGTGCCTGTGGATGCGATCAGTTCTGGCGCGAAATAGTCAGGTGTGCCACAGGCAGTGAATGCTTTCCCGATGCAAACCTGCGCAAAAAAAGGAAGTAACAAAAAAAGTGGCTGGATGGGCCGCAGTCCAAAGTTATAAGGTGATTCCCTGGGATTGCACTGCAATGGCCGCCACCTTTGCCAAACCCATGTCAGTCAACTTCACGTTGCCCTTCTCATCCAGCAGAAGGTTCTCCTCCGGCCCGGCAAATGGGTATATAATAATTTATCATTCTCACTTGAGTCACTCCTCTGAAGCGACAGTGCTGTCTCTGCACCGCCCTATATATATATATGTATGATTAATTATGTATGTCCAACACCAAACGTGAACACGAGGATGGAAGGGGATGACGCATGTTGCACCTTAGCCCCGCAGTAGCTTTTTGGTTCCATCGGGGAGCAATCTGAAGTGTCCAAAGGAGAGCGAACTGGCGTTAGTGGCCTACTTGCCCAGAGTTGACTGCATGTTCTTCCCGTCTGGGGCTCGCGTTGGTGAAAGAGAGTAAGCACACAAGAAAAAGATATCAAATTGTGTTTCTAGCGGTTCCTGCGTCCACACCTTTTTTGGAGTTCTCCCTTCCAATCAGCCCAAGCTTTCTGTTCATGCGTGGGCCGACTTTGGACACACGATGCTCATCGGTTAGGGCACTGCATCCAAATGGCAGTTGTGGCCCTGCCAATCACTCAAATTGAACTGAATTCAGGACGTCTATCTAGGAATCCATTTTACCATGCCCGTGAGGCCAGCGTATTGAACCAGGCACCCGACTGGGGGCCACAGAAGAAACAAGAAAGATAAAGCAAATCAACATACTCAATCCTAAGGCCCTGAGATGTCCTAAGGTCCTCAGGTCTTGGTTGATTACCGAGCCACTTAGCCTTCAGGTGGCAACACCCGGAGCTCTAAAGGTCTCAACTTCAGCAGCGGCATCAACTCATCCCTGGCACGGCCCAGTGTAGGAGCTCCGTTGATCTCCAGGAGCACCTCAAAAAGGGTTCAAGAAAATTGCAAAGGGATGTACTCTGCCAGTTGGGCTCTGATTGAATCTTCGACCCAGGCTGCTAGGAGCGAGTCTGATTACAAAAAAATATGCCGGCCGGCAGCTTGGAGAAGTCCTTTGTGGTCCTACGACTCACTACAAAGAAGCTGAAAAACATTTCCTCCCAAGGCACGCTGCCCGAGCAAATGCCCAATTTCTCAGCCTCGCCACTGGGGTTTACGGTGCCCACCGAGGGCCGCTCGGTCTCCCATAAAACCTGGCGGAGAAACGGAGAAATGGCAATCGCCACTGGAGAAACGTCTCAGACTGTTCCTTATTCCGAAGAAGGCGATGGCCTCGCTACTAGTGTGGAGGCCATCGCTATTAGGCTGCCAGGCGACCGATCCCTGAAGCCGTCTATTACGCCCAACCACCACTACATGCTCAAAAGCAAAGCCATCGACAAGTTTCCTGCCAATTTCTTTGGGTTGCGAATATATTTCTGGAATGTTTTTCGTTTTTTTTATCTTTTTTTTTCGTGCTTCGTGGCAGGTGCAGTACTTTGTGGACCTTGCAAAGCACATTTCGTGGCAGGTGCAGGACTTTGTGGGCCTTGGAGTGCAGAGTTTGAGGCAGGCGCAGGACTTTTTGTGGGCCTTGAAGTGCAGATTTCGTGGCAGGTGTAGTACTTTGTGGCCCTTGGAGTGCAGATTTTGTGGCAGGCGCAGGACTTTGTGGACCTTGAAGTGCAGATTTCGTGGCAGATGCAGGACTTTGTGCGTGTGGAAGTGTAGAGTCGAGTTGGTGGCAGGTGCAGGACTTTGTGGGCCTTGGAGTGCAGATTTCGTGGCAGGCGCAAGACTTTGTGGACCTTGAAGTGCAGATTCGTGGCAGGTGCAGTACTTTGTGGATGTTGAACTGCAGAAAGATAGAAAGATAGAAAGATAAGTTGATAGATAGATAGATAGAATAGATTGGATTAGATTAGATTAGATAAGATAAGATAAGATAGATAGATAGATAGAGGAGGCATATTTGCTTGGTTAGAAAGTTTTGCACCGGGGAGTTCACCTTAAAATATTGATTTCGTGGCAGGCGCGGGTGTCGGGGATGAGGTGCAGATTTCGTGGCGCGGGGGGGTTGGGGCGCAGCGCCCCCCCCCAGCAGCACACCAGATCCAAAGGTGAGCAGCTCGTGCTTGCTTGCTTGCTTGTTTCGTCTCTGCAACGAAAACAACAGGAAAAGCAAATACAAAAAGAGAAAGGAGAACAGCTGCCAAAAGAAAGAAAGAAAGATAGATAAATAGATAGGTATAGACAGATACAGAAGCCACAGAAGCCAAAAGCCACAAAAGCCAGAAGCCAGAAGCCAGAAGCCACGAAAAACAAAAAAAAATCCAAAAAAGAAACAAAAAACAAAAAACAAAAATAAATACCCCTCCATTTCTTTGTGTTTCCGGTCCAGAAAACCAACCGCCCAAAGAAGGACAAGAAAACCAGACTGTTGGGCTGCACCTCTCCAACGCAGGTTTGATTTTGCTGGTATGCCATGATGCATCTTTGTGGGTCCTTGAAGGTCTTTTCTCCCAGCAGATAAGCAGCCATAATTCATGAACATTGTTGATTTTCATAGGTTGTTGGCGCATGCACTAGGAGAACAGAACAAACCTGTGGAATTGATAGGGAACTCGTGCCGGATCTAGCTAGAAGGCTAGGGCAAGCATGCAATTGCCTTTCAACTAGGTCCGGACGGTTTTTCTACTCTGTCCTAACTAGCTTCCTCTTTCCTGAATGGCTTTTTTCCCATGAAATGTCCCGTCAAAAAAGAAAACATGAGAAAACTAATGGATGCGCTGTGCTGATGTTCTCCTCCTCTTCTGAAATTGCTCTGCCTTTTCTTGCTTTTCTTCTGCCTCTCTTAGTGCGACGCATTACACCCACTACCCCTCCTTCACCTTCAAGCAGCCGCTCATCATTGATTTGCCTTCCTTTGGCTCTCAGTGGTCAATAGCCTTCATGTTCTTATCTTGGCTAGCAGTCCGAAATTCTCAGTGGTTGCGCCACTTTCTCAAGCAGCCTTCTCTCCCACTCTCCCTCTCTCGCTCTCTCCCTCCCTCTCTCTCTCCCTCTCTCTCTTTCTCGCTCTCTCTCTCTCTCTCTCTCTCGCTCTTTTTTAGCTTCTGAGTTGTTCAACAAAAGGTTTGTACGTGTATGTCAATATATGTGAATAGCAAGAAGGAGAATAGCCAGTTGAAGAATAAAAGCAATAGGAGAAGCAAGAGCTGAACAGGAGGCCCAAAGGCTACTGAAGCAGTAATCGAGAGAGGATTGATTGAAAAGAGTTTTTGGACAAAGGAACAGCTGAATAGGAAGGAGGCAAAGTGATTAAATGATTAACCAGCAATGGAACGATCTATGTAATCACAAACGGCTGAGGGACGAACCAAGAGAGCAAGTTAAGTCAACTGCCGGTCTTAACGAGAAAGAGAGAGAGAGAGAGGGAGCGATATGTATTTATATGTAATATACTGTATATATATATATATACACTGTAGGTACAATATGCTTGTGTGGATGTCGCTGAGCCCAATGACAAGTGGAACAAAGCATTTTAGACACAATGGAGAAAGGGTGGAGGAGGAGCCACGCAAAGCTAGCACAAATCAATCAAGAGGGGACTGTTAGCGCTGTCCCTAACGTGTTCACCTGTATCTCCTCAACAAATCTGCATAAACGTGTCTGCACATCAATTGTGAAGGCAACAACTGCATTTGCCGATTTGCCATGCTAGCTTTGCATTGAAAAACATGTGAGGCCGAGACCTCCAAATTGCTATGAAAAGTGAAAAGTTGCGGTGCCTGTAAAAATGCCAGCCATCCAAAACTTTTGGCCTCCCAGCCGCCTCAAAACCCAGCTTGCGCACATGCTCGCCGAACTGCAGGGTCACGGAGGCAGGAAAGACCTCGGGAGACTGCACAGGCATCACCTTCTCCGTCTCATCAGCTGCTGAGACATTCTCAGACTCCGGGGCGGCACGCCCAGGCGCGGCAGGATCAGCGGGGACCGCAGGTGCGAGGTGGTGCGGAGAAGCTGCATAAATCTGAAGCTCTTGGCTTCCTTGGCTTGATTGCCTAGACAGCTTTCCAGAACTTCCTTTTGGTGTTTCCAAAGTCTTATCGACTTTCTCAGCTTTCTCTCCTCTCGCTTTACTCTCTTTTCGGTCCAACTCCAGCTCGATCCTGTTTGTGGTTAGATCTGTTGCTGCTAGTCGGTCCATTGCCCCTGCAGCTTGGTCTGCATCCGGAACTGGAACCGTCCTATGGGGTGGCAGATAAGACCGCACGGGCCGATGGTCGGGGCTCACATCTTTCCACTCTTTCCCCACGGCGATGTTTGCCAAGCGCTGCCCGGTCTCAATCCACATGACCCGGAACTCCTCGGAGAGCTTCTGCAAATGTCCCAGGCAACTTTGATCCACCTCTTTCAGAGCAGCTTTGAATCTTCCCACGCATTGCTCCTTCTTCCGTTTCACGGCGGCTTCTTGGTCGATCTTGGAAGCCAGGTCCTCCACCACAGCCGTTTGCATGGCTGCAAGCTCTTCCAAGCGAGCACTCTGAGACGATCGGAACCAACTCCTCTTGCCTTCAGCACTTGCAACTGCTTGAAGTTCTGCACTGGCCTTCTCTTTCCGACGAGCCACCTCCCGAACTGCTTGTGCACATACGGATTCTTGTTGCTCAAGTTCCTTGATTTGAATCCGTTCATCCATGCAAGCTTCCTTCAAGTTGTTCTGTACGGCCTCCATGGGAGAGATCAGATCCGTTCGAATTCGCGCAGACAGCTCTGAGAAGAGTTCTCCAAAGCTCCCAAAGGAGTCGATCATGCCTTTGCTCGCAGCCGCCATGGGAGGATCGTTGTCCTGCAACTGCCGCAAGAAGACTGCATCTGCCCCAATGCTCCGAGTGCTACGGTGAAAGCCATCTGCCAACTGCTGGAGACTCTTTGCAGCCACTGTGCTCGCATGGATCAAGGGCGCCAAGCTGGCAAGCCGCGCCAAAAGCTGCCGATCCGTGTTTTCGGAGTCCAACTCAGAGTGGCTTGGAGGCTTGGCTTTGGGTTTGGGCTTGGCCGTACGGATCTTGTAGATGAGATCCTCCGGTAGCCCTGCCAGTGCCATTGAGCCCGGCGACCTAGCCCTGCAAGGTTCTACCAATAGAGCTGGTTCCTGCTCGAGCGCAGCGCGGCGGCACGGGTACATCAACAAGAACGTGGAAGCCTTGGCAAGCGAAGGGATAAGAAAACGATTGTGCAGTGTGCCCCCCTGGAAAGCCACAAGTCCCAAGATATCGCAAGGCCGCTCCGGCTTCAGGTCACGGTACAGGATCTTTTTGCCTTCACATGCGGGCTCATTGGAAACACCATCTTTACAGCTTTTGTTATGTCTTGTTTCCATCCATGCCACTTGCACCATCATCTCTGAGGCAACCAGCCATGCAAGTGCTCAAAGGCCATGACAACACCAGCCGTGTAGAAGCGGGCAAAGTTCTCCTGCAGGTGAATCCGAGGAACCAAGGAGACAAGAGCAAGTCCTGGCTTTTGGAGAAAGTCCGCTCAGCTTCCATCTTTAGATGCAGCATGACACGTCCAGCAATTGAAACAGTGGCGTGCCGAAAGAACTTCAAGGTCAAAGTTCTTCTGCATTCTTTTCCGGCTTCTTTGTGAGACGATTCTGAAATCTGGGCTCTGTACTCATGGGTCTTATTGCCCACATGGCCGAAAGACACCAAGACATCTTTGGGCATGTCTTTCGCACCGGAGAATCCGAACCCGGAGATTTCCTGCTGAGATCCACTTAGTCGCGAAGTTCGTGAAATTTCTTCACTTAGACTTAGTCATCCTCTTCGTCGCCCTCTGCGAAGGAACCCAGGCCGTTCTTCTCTTTCTTTTTGCCTGGGTTCTTTGCTTGCAGCCTCAGACTCGTGCTGTTTGGTTCCAGTGCTGCGGTTGGCTCTTCCGCCCATAAGGGTGGATTGCCCACATCACCCTGTAAGGTCTTGTGTTAAGAGAGGTCCAAAAGGTATAATTCTGTTGTGGGAACCCTCCTTCCTCACCCTTCAGGGACCTGTCACAGGACCTTCTGGCCACACTCTTGCAACCTCGGAGCTTTCCAGTCCCTAGGGCCATTTGACCCTCAGAGACATTTTTGTCTTTCTTCGCCTCAGAATGGCAACCGTCATGACATGACTGTCCTACCGCACATGCCTGGAGGCAGGATAGGCAGACTCTGAGAAACTGGCTGACAACATTGAAGACGTCCTTGCAGCACAACGTCAGGGCTACAGGTGAACCCGCCCTACAACCAACGTTCAAAGCACGGAGCGTTCCATTTACAGCTTTGTATGCCAAGGGTCAGCTTCGGTCCAACAAAGGAAGCGAATAGCTGCATAATATCAACGTCATCTTCATCGAAATGCTCCGGTTGGCCATCATACGAGACCTGAGCAAGAACAGCAAGGCCAAGCTTCTGGTGGGCAACACTGTGCCCTAAAACAACAAAACGCTGGCAATGATGCTGCAAGCTGGATTTGGAAGCTCCCCAAACAAGCCTTGTTGATCATCTGTATGACTCCAACAACGTGGGCATTGTCTTCGGACATGATAGGGATGGCCAGTATACTCCGCGTGCGGTAGCCTACCCGGACCCAAAATCAATCACCGAAGAATCTAAGAATAGCCACCGTCTGCTTATAGAACTGGACTAGGTTACCATTGTCATTGTGCTCTGTGTTTTCTCAATGCACATGGTCTGTGCTGTCGCGATGGCTGCACGAAAGTTTCCGTGCACCTCTCCAGGCATTTCACGAAGCATCTGGACAATACATCAGCCGGTCGTGCTCAAGCCTTGCCCTACACAGGCTGATGCTGCTTCAGTGAGGCGACTGGGGTGAAAATTGGAAAATGGACATTGACTATGGGGCCCGATGGCCAATCTTCCCCAAAGCGCAGACCTGCTCTTCAGACCTTGACCTGCTCATTGGTCGTGAGATTGCACGATTCAGAGCACGGGCCAAGTCTTCGCAGAGTCTCAACTCTCTTGGGTTCTCAAGGCCTGCACGTACTCAAACACTGGCGAAGTCACCTCAAGGCAGTCACAAGAAGCATTTCTCCAAAGAACATGGGAGGCCGAGAGTTTGCGAACCTATCGAAAATCGTACAAATCAAATATATAACTAACGACGAAAGCAACAGCGGCTCAAAAAGTTTTTGTTGGGCTCACATGAGCTCAGTGCATTGGTAGCAAATTCCCGCCTGCTCTCGGCCACGGTTCTGGTCAGGGTGCAACTTCACGAGAAGCTTGCGCAGCACACGGCCACGCTTCCTGAGGTCTGCTTCTCCTTCCTGAGCCCGCAGTTTACAACAACTGCCTCCTGGTCATATGAACAGGAACTGAGGACACAACATAGGGCCACATGGAACTGAGAGCGCTACTGTATGCATCAAGCTCCCTGCAGCCAAGTCACCAGCTCCTTCTCAACTGAAACCAGCAAATCCACTGCATCCTGGCCCACGGCACGAGCATCTTGCCAAGCTCTGTCTCGGCAGCCGTCAGGATTAAGGGATTGGTCTTGCATGGCTTTCCAGTCCTCAAACCTGGCGCAAGAACGCGCGAGAACGAATCACCCTAGCCTAATCCGGATACACTTTGCGGAATCATCATGAAAGCGGAAAACCACCTGTTCGTAGTAGAGGACAATGGTCTTCCAAGGATCCATTTTCCACTTCCATGATGATTCCAGCTGGTGTAAAATTGGCCAGGACCACATGTTGAAAACTAAACGATGCGTATCTACACTGCGCTCTCGGCCGCGCTCGGCCGCGCCTCTGTCTGGATCCACCAAAGAAGCGCTCCTCTAGAGTCCCTGGCGCTTCACCCCATCGCAAGGTGTCGCTGCGTGGGTCTGGCGGCAAGTAGAAGCGGCCTGGGGTGAGCCACAAAGGAGAAAAGGAGAAGAGAAGGTGCCTCTTCTGGTTACACCATTGGCAACACTGAAACTACTCCAAGAATCACCCCTGCAAGGGTCATGTGCGCAAGAATGTCAAGCATCATTGTCACTGTGATGACTGTCACTATTCTGATTACGCCATGGCATTCCACAAGCAATGTCGGAGGGTAAATCTAGCTGAATCTAGGCATGTGGCTACATGTGAAAATTACAGTACTGTATGCAGGAATGATGAATATGAAACAATCACGCCGTGGAGGATGATCTGCGATATCATATCCCGTGCTCGATGACCTTAACAAATCTCCGATGAACAGTAAGGAATTGGCCTGGAAGGAACAAATCTTGAGCTCTGCGTAATTTGCCCAGAACTGTGTCGAAGTAAAGCCTGGTCTCCGCGATGTAATCCTCATCCGCGAATCGGATGCTCGAGAATAGATCCCGCTCCACACCTTCAAGAGCCGTGGCCAGGCTTCCTAAGGAATTGCGAGCGGCGGACCACTCGCACTCTGGCACAGGCTCGTAGTAGCCAAAGAGATCTACAAGACCTCTCCAGCTGCTGGAAGGTAGATATGATTCGCAGGAGGCAGCTGCTCCTTCTAATTCTCCCTCGACATCTTCCCACATGCCGTCACACATCAGCTCGGCCTAGGACCAAAACAGCCTTCTTCAAGCTCTGCATCAAACCAAAGCAACCCAGTTCGGCACACTTAAGTCCATCCTGGCAAGCGCTAGCCACCACACCTCTAAAGTGAAACAAAACGAAAACATGCACCACAGGAAGCCCGTTCCACTCTAAGAAGCTGACAGTTTCGAGGGCTTGCGCTAGTTGTAGGCTTAACTTTAATATACAGAAATGTTGTGTTTCCGCACGCGGCAGGGCTACTCGCACCACCCTAGCCCTGCACCAAATCCAATCTTTATAGCAGAACCAACTGAAGCAAGACAGGCAACTGCGTTGCGCAGGGAAATCGCAGCACTGCTCAGCGCAACAGCGCTGCCGGACCGCACCTTGCCGTTGAATGCCCCACGTGGAAACATGGAAACCATTGGGAGATGTTATCGTTCAGCTTCCGGTGCATCTACAGTATCACATCCTTCCACAATGGCCCAGTCCCTTTTCACTGTTCACTCTTCTCATTCCCTGACCTTGGAGCTCACTGTCAGCAGCGCATCTCCGGCAACCCAGAGCTCGCGGCCCAAGGCCTGAGCCCAAAAGGTGAAGTTGTACAAAGCGAGACCGTACAAACGAGCATCTGTTACATCAACTTCAGTGAGATTCGGGGTGTGACACTCAGGACAACCCACCCATCACCCGACTTTGCCTGCAAAAGTTCGCCGGCTTCAGGCTTTCCACTTGGCGGAGCGGCCTTTGCACGACTTCCAACTCATTCGGGGTAGGAAGCTAAGCAGCTGAGAAGTAAGTAAGCTATATATGTCATTAGAGAAGAATCTATACAGTTGCGACGCGAAAGAGTCGAGTCTAAACAACGATGGCCTCCAACCTACTCCTACTAGCAATGGCCTCCAACCTAGTAGCAATGCCCAACTTAGTAGCAAAAGGAACCTAATAGCGATGGCCTCCAACCTACTAGCAATGGCCTCCAACCTAGTAGCAATGCCTCCAACCTAGTAGCAAAAGGAACCTAATAGCGATGGCCTCCTACCTACTAGCAATGGCCTCCACCCTACCTCTTGTCGTAAGAGAAGCTGACAGCTGTGACGCAACAATAGAGTCACAGTGCATTGGACCCTTCTCCAACGCAGTTGCCGGAAGCTGGGAGAGGCTCCGTGAATCGCATGATCGAAACGGCCGCTCATTGGTTGCTGGGCGTCGCGCGCATATTCACCGGCCAAGTTGCGAAAGTGCTCTGCAGTCCATGTTGGTAGATGGTACAAGCAAAAAAGCCCAAGAAAATGGCAATCGCAGGCCGCCCGCGAACCATGGTGAACACGCAAAAACTACCACTGTTTCGTCTATGATTGTCTATGTCTATGTCTCTGCCTTCAACTTCCTCGATGTGTCTCACACACAACACTGGGCTCGACTGGATGGTTCCTTCTAACTCAGCGGGTGAATGTGATGCATATAAAATGTGTTGTGCAGCTTTAAAGATGATGCGTTCCATGCACCCCAAGAAGAGTCTTTTGCTGTGAGCAGTGAGGCTCTAGGGCTCTCATCGTAGGCAAGGTCTCATATCTGTGCAGGAGAAGGTAGCCAGAACAACCGACACATCATCGGGGACATGATGAGCAAAACATGCTTGTAAGGCCTGTCTGTACATCGACGTGCTTGTTAAAGCGCGGATCAGCATATGCATCCTCAGTGCGGCCGGAACCTTGAGGGCTGGGGGTGCTCCAATAGATTCAATCGACCGTCCTTCAATTATTGGGCCAAATCAGAAATTCTATCCATGGTGTATACCTTAGTTTCCCTCCTCAGCAATTGAACTACTGACTGGGTGGAGATGAGTATCTGGAATGTTGATGACCCTGCACTGGCAGCAGCACTCTCCTGCAATGCCTGCCAGGTGAGCAAGTCAATCTGGAGGCAAGCACACAGTACATGGTGCCTCCTGAATCCTAATTATGCGTCCATGGTCCATTATGAATCCCGATTATGGTTATGACACCTTGCCACACTGACATCTCAGACTCAGCAGTTGAAGTCATGCCGCCCTGCCTTTGTCTTTGGGAATTCGGATCTCTGCACCCGTGTCTGTGGACACTGACCAGAGCTGCTGCGCCGCATCATCCACGAGGAACACAGTAGACCTGCACATCTCTTTAGGACTTACAGCTTTGTCGATCATTCTGTCTCTCACTTCCCACTCTGACCGGCTTGATTTATCCGTGATACGTGAGGGTCTCTGTGAGCGTCAGGGACGCTCGAGCGCTTCGCGGGCACTGCCCATCCCGATCGGGCCCTATCCGCTGGCCCGCTGGCCTCTCTGCACTGCAAACTTTGCTCCTCAAAGACAAACGAAAGCAGGGTCTGGACCAAAGTGACTTCGAAGCTGTCCGGGCAGCTAAAACCTACCGCTCCCCCCCTTCCCTACGTAACAATTTTAAAGTAGGCGCCTACTTAATCAAGTAAGGAGATAAGCTACTAGGCTAAGTAAGCTTCTAGGTAGGACGCGGGGTAGCTCACACTTGCACTAATCATTTGGCTCCTAGATTCGCAGGGAAACTTGCATAACTTTCAACAGGAAAGGAATGACCCAAAGGGGATCTCGACGCAGTTGCTGCCCAAGTGTCGCATGAGTAGTGACTGTCAGAAGAAGAGATTGTGGCCCCAAGTCCTAGCACGCACAGCACGCACAGCATATCCCAACAAGTCGAAAATGGTTTGGCCATGTTTGGGCTATATCAGTCTACTTGAGACTTTGAAGACTTTGAATGGGCCACTTGTCGGGTTTGTGTTCAGGGTGCCAGCCTGGGATACACTCTGGATGGTGTTTAGGAGCCCGGTGGCACGCTCGCTGCAATTGATGGCCTCAACCCAAGCACGCAAACGCAAACAAAATGGCTTTTGCACTATGTGACTATGTGGCTATATTCATAAATTGCGCCATGAGCCTAGACTGAAGAAATCTCGTGAACGCCTCGCGATAGACTTCAGCATTCTGAATTGCAATTGCCACGTTCTGGACTAAATGCAGCAGCATCTTCCTCAGTGGTTCTTGATTGGTACAACCTCCGTTGCTCCTTGTTCCGTGGCTCTCATCTCATCTCTCGTATCTCTAGCTCGTCTGCGTCAGAAAGAATTTGCAGCATAGTGTCTGATCTGTTGCTGGGAAGGCTATGGCATACTTTCCACTTGGCACCTCTTTGTCAATCTTTACATTCTTGGGCATCTTGTTGATGGCCTTCGCAAGCGCAGCGCACGTTGCGTGCGCCAACTCTACTACCCTTGCAATGCGCCACAAGCTACTGATCAAGATGCACCTGGATCACGCCACAGCTTTGGCCTTCAATGTCCAAGATAGGGACCTGATTCCAAGTGGCTCCCACTTTCCACTCCCTGCTGTTGCCTCTTGGGTGGATCATCAAACCTGAGGCTCAGTACCACTATCATACTCCGAGTGAAGTATCCCGTCTCCATGTCCAAGGTCCGGTCAAAGCGGCTGTCCTGACGAAATGGGAGACAAGCACAATCAACCAGTCACCAAGGTCCCTTTGGCCCAACCAAAGACAGCACAAATGTGCCTGCTGACAGTTGGCGATGTTCACCAACTCCTGCGTTTGAAAGACGCTTCCAGCAATGCCCTGATCCAGCCTCAGGAGGTTGTTTGCTGAAAAAGGAGTTAGGGGTAGTGACCATCCAAGAGCTAAAGTGAAGATTCTTGGTTCTACAAATGCTTGGACCATTCCCCGACCTGCCTCATCATCAGTGGCGCTTCGCTGTTTCTGTTGGTGTACAGTCTCAGCATCTGCATCTTTCGGTCCAAGACCTCAGCAGCTGAGACAAAGTGGCCAAGAGCTCTTCCATCTTCACTGGACAGCCCGAGGCTCCAGGCATAAAGTGAAACTGCATCGCAATTCAGCAAGCCCATCGTTTCTTTGATCGTGACGCCTTCGAACAAAAGTGTCTTCACACACGCAGTCAAGGAGAAAAGAAACACAACCAGGTTTTGAATCAACTGAATCTACAAATGGTGGTTTGGTGGTTGATCTCTTGCTGCTGGGGCGCCGATGGTCTCCTGTGGGTTAATCTTCCCGGTGATGCGCCGAGAGACCAGGAAAAGCCCCTGTAAATCGGTCTCGGTGAGTTCACCATCTTGAGCCTCCACGTCCTAGGAAGTGGCCCAAGCGTTACATGATATCATAATTATCGAATATGTTCAATGATGTTGCACAACTCTACATTCTTCAAGACTTTTAGACCTGTAGCTGTGACTGGTCCTTCTCCAAATAGTTTAGAAGGAACTTGCGTGGATTATGGGGCTTGGCAACCAGCACTGCCTTGATCATCTCCTGAGTCAACTCAGCAATGAACCGACAAACAACATGCAGGCTTAGACAGGTGGCCTGCACCACTTGTTCCACATTGTGCTTTTGGACGAAGCGCTCCACTGCCTGCCTGGACGCACCACATGGCATCGAAATCAAATAATCAAGAGCCAGGAGAATTTAGACTTTGGAAACGCAAAACAGTGAGAAGCAGCCTCTCAGCTGCTTCTTTGGCAGCAGCCATGGCATGGATCTTCAACCACTTTCCCAGCGATTGCTATATTGCGCTGACTTTTGGGGTGCGATGATCTTGTATCGAAGCTGGTCGTGGGTTGTCGAGCGGGTGGTGAACTTGGCTGTCTGTCTGTACTGCGAACTGCCAACGGATCCAACCACGGAGGCTAAAAGCTGATGCGATGTCTCTGCTCGCCAGTGGCAATTGTGAGACAGCTCGACGACTACAGTACGTCAGTACGTCTGAACGACGTGCGAGTATATAAATATGCATATAATTATATCTCTCTACATAGTTCTGATGTCCTTGCCAAAGAAGCCTTTCTTGTTGTACCTCAGTTCAGCTATTGATGCAGAGTCCTTTTCCCACCTCATCTACCATTGACAGTCCTGGCCGTCACACTCGAAGGACTGTGCAAGCACCCCCCAGGCCACCGGGCGTAGCATAGAGCTCCCCACCCAGCGCCGCTTCCAAGAGGAAGTAGAGAGCTGTGCAGTTAGTGCAGTTTCATCAAAATCACAAGCAAACCATATGCTTCTTGTTCCTAGTAGCGAACATTGCTCCTACTAGTACGGCCAGGAGCCCCTAGTAGCGTCCTTGCTCCTAGTAGCGATGCCAGGAGCCCCTAGTAGCTTCTTGTTCCTAGTGGCAAACCATTTACAGTAATTTCATGAGACCAAAGGTTTGGGACTGAATGGACTCCTGGACTGTTGCTTCACAGCTGACTCTCTCCGTTCTTCTCCCCCCTTCTCTCCCTTTGTCGGGATGTACATCTTGCAACCCATGTCCAACACAGGCTGGACAGAAAACAAAACCGCGCATTTTACGTTACATTCAGCGACTATCTATCGGGATATGACCAGGACCAGGAGGTGGAGGTCCGCCACTGAGGGGCGAGCTTTGATCACTGTTGTACGTCCTTAGGCAAGTTGCCGCATAAGCCCGAGAATTGAAAACACTGTATAAGTCACTGTATAAGTACTCAGGTCTTGGTTCCTGCCACACTGCTGCCAAAATTCTCATACAGGCGGATGATGAAGAGAGAGTTGCACATCATTTGCACTGCCTTCTCCTCAAGTGCTGACTGAAAAGTTATCTCCACATGCAGCGCAAAGTTGTCGTCTTGCGATTATACAATATCCATATATACAGTACAAATGTGCGTGTGTGCGTGCGTTCAGCAACTGAAGGAACTCGGCACCCAGCTGTCAGCACACTCTGCTTCATGCCACATTGAACAATGAAACCTTTGCTCATCGCCTACGAATGGCCGCAACTTCGGTGCAAAATGGACCGTGCAAGTTCAAAGCGTTGCAACTCGGCCTTCAAAGCATACGTCTCACCGGTGAGCTGGTACTCCACAAGCCTCAGCGTCCAAAAGCCCACTCGCAAAGTGATACCTGGTACCTGACCAGTAGGAACAAGGACGCTACTAGGGGCTCCTGGCATCGCTACTAGGAGCAAGGACGCTACTAGGGGCTCCTGGCCTTACTACTGGAACAAGTTGACAAGAAACTACTAGGGGCTCCTGGTCAGTGGTGCGAAGCAGGTTTTTCAGTTTCGTCACCCCAAAGCTAGTTGTAGCAAGCTACTCCACGGAGCCAAAGCCACCGCAGCCCAGCATGCCAACTGGTTTCAAATCTTTCCTGCAATAAGGCAATAACTATATATAACGCACATCTGGCTGGCATGAACAAGTAGCATGGAGCTGAACATCAACATAAAGAAGTATACAGTATGAGTCATTATGAGCATGAGTGGGGGAAGTCAGTTTTCTGCAATTGTTTGCATTTTGTGAACTGGGCTTTGCCAGCTAACAAGGAAGCGAGGCATTCAAACACTGAATCCAGTCCGGCCAGCTGACACCACCGTTTGTGAATTAAAGGGCCATTTTGCTGGCTCATGGCATGCTTGCACTGCAGATTTCTGCTAGAGCAAGCCTGTAGTCAAACAGTGAGCATCATGTCTGGCCGCTGGCCATGCAGCTCAAAAAGCCTCCTTCACCTTAGGCAGCAACACTCTGCCTCTACCTGCGGATCAGATCAGCTTCAACAAACTCCAAGCATAGCAACATCGGCCGTGGAGAATGGGGGCCGTGTTGATCCAGTGCTAGGAGTCCATCGACATCACGGGCCTGGAGGAACAAAGGTCAGAAGCATAGTAAAGCGAATGAACGCTTCTTTTCTAAATCTAGGAGACGGTAGCCGTAGCCCTCTTCAGCTCAAAAACATCACCGTGTACCACAGGCCGGCCTTCCATGACCAGGAGGCATATCCTGGGTCTCCGCCTGGAAGCAAGTATGCAGCGATTTTGGGCATTGCACTCCACATCTGCAGGTCATAGTCCAACATAGTCCAACTCGTTTTTTGCTACCATGGCACCTTCAGCGACGCGTAAAGCTCCCGCAGCTCCGCATCCTTCATGAAGAGGATGCTTTCAAGCTCCTGTAGCTCAGGATGAGTTACTCTGGGACGCAAAGCAGCCTGAATCAGCTGTGGCTCCTGGATGCGTTTCTGCAACTTGGTTGTGTGCTCAGACCTGTGCAAGAACTCAAAAATTGCGATCCTCTTGATTCTTGATTATATAAGTGTGTTCCACAAACACCTGAAGGTGCTGCATGTTGAGGGGAACCTTTCAACCATAAGTTGACGTGCCTGCATTGTCTCAAATCAGTCTGCACACCAGCCTCAGGACACAAGAAAGTGGCAGAAACATCGAAGGTTTGATGAGGCAACCTCTGAGGCAACGGCGAGCTCTGGAGAAGAACTGATATCCGTTCGGCGGTAAACGTCAAGCGCCTGCACCGACCAGTAGGTATCGTAGAACTCCTCGTACTCATCTCGCACAAAGGCAACACAGTCTTTGTACTTGCGCTGCTTCTTTCCACGCTTCTTCTTGCCACAATGCTGCTTGAACGTTGCTGGCCTCAGTCACACATCTGTCCCCCGAGACAGTCCACTTTTCACGTGCTCTTAACACCCAACGCACCTAACGTTCGTGAGCAACACTTGCAGCATGCCATGCCAAATTCAAGCCAGGAAGCCCTGCAAGGTCACCGCAAAATGTGATATCGAAAACCAGCTTCATGTTCTTGAAGTGAAGTGGGTGGCAATTGTCGCTCAAGGCAAAGTAGAAATCGGGCTGGCCCCACAACATTGGGTTAGGCATCTTGCTTTTCACATCTGCGGGCTCCTGGCCCGAGTGCCATACCCAAACCCGCATGTGGCCTGCAACTGGGTCCCACTCAGCAGCGTAGGTACCACCACCCGCCGCATTGAACGATGGACCCACAGATCCATGCAGACCTCGCTGGGAACAGCCCTGATTCGTCCACTGGCCATCTGCATGCACATAACAGTCGTGGGCATTGTTGGTGTTCCATTTCCCTTTATTCCACTTTCCCTTCATGTGCCATCCTGGATAGAGATGCTCTTGTGTACAATTTTCCTTTGTGTGCAATGTTGTAGAAACTTCTTCCTCTTCATGAATCCACTCCATGATGTCAAACTCGCCCCACTCTGGCCAAACGTGGTCCGCATCCTCGCCAAACATCCAGAACGCGGGCCAGCTACCGCAACCTGCACAGGCGATTCATGGTAGGGGAGTTGGCGAAGCCATTTTCTATTGCATGCGGTCCACGCAAACGCCACTACCACAACAGCTGCTACGTGCTTAAGGCCTCTATACTCTATACCAAGACGACTTGAAAAATACCACCCCGACACCTAAAACAATGGATGTTGCCTTGTCAAGGAGTCAAGGGTTTCAACCCCCGTCTCCGCCTGTCGGTGCATGCTCCAATGAGATGATGAACAGGCCATCGTTGTAGCGAGCAGTTGATTCCAAGCGCACTGACATCCGCCCACGGGCCCCAGGTGCCACCACACTGCGATTGTCAACGCCGATGAAAATGCCTTAGGCAGTGCTGGTTATACTACAACCTCGTTCAGTCTCTGTTAGGCGATGTGGCAACAGCATCAGGGTGCCCACAAGGTCGGAATATGCAATGTAGCACCCTCCTGCTTCATGTACAACTCTTGGATTCAAGTGACATGATTTTGTCTGGCTTCAGTCTGCATACCTGGCCCTGGGTTGGGTTCTGCCTCACCGGGCTCTGCATTTGATTTTGCACAACGACCGGAAACTAGATCTCAGCAGCCGAAGTCACACTGCCGAGCTGACGCATGATATTCGCGCCTTTCGGCTACAGTAAGTGCCTTCGGAAAACTCTGAGCCATATGTATATAATTGTATATATATTTATATATAGTGTTCAACTGCCCTTGAGACCTGGAGTACACTGCTATCTATCAAAAACAACATTCGACCCTAACTCACTGATCCTGCCAAAGTACCATTGGCATCTGTCCTGATCAAGTTCTCTGCTTTTGCTTTTTCTGCTGTCACGTAGTCAACAAAACCATGTGTTGGATCATTCGCGGAGATAAAGTCCCACTTCTCGAAGAAGTCTCCTTGCATGTAGTCCTGCACGGCTACTGGCGGCTATTGTTGATTCATATTCCTTGTGTACGGCGATCATGCACTACCTTCACCAACCAATGATTCTGCAAGCCCAAGACGGTGATTGGAGTCATTTCTTTTGGCCTGGCCTCATGGTGGCTGTAGTCAGCCCCGACAAGGCCCAGCAGCAACAACGCAAGAGGACCCATTGAGGCGACAGCTTGAGACCGGAAAGCTTCGGATTCTTCAGAGAATAAGAGATACTAGAGTGTATAATTAGCTGCTCATCCCCTCATCTTGCCTTTACGATCTTTTTTGGTTCTTTTCAATGGCCAATTCTTGAGGATGCCCAACTCACCCCATGTTGTGCATCTAAGCCAAGTCCTCTCTATGGGCCCGATGCTTTCTGTCTCGCGATCCCCTGCGCAGCAAGGGCTTGGCGAGCTTTGTCCATCAGACGTGAGGAGAAAAAGGCGAAAGAAGCAAGCAAACGATTGTTGACCAAGCAAAGCAGTGTTGCTTGCTATGAACTGCTTCCTTCAAGCATCTTGGCAAACGGAGGCTTCATGGCCCATGGTTACAACAAACATGCCGCTCAGCCTCCAAGGGTCCCCAGGTGTGAGGCACTTCGCAGCATGGAGGCTTTCCGCAGCAAGCTGGCCTGGGCGAGTCACCAAGCACGCTGGAGCCACCACTGAGGGCTGCTCAGGGTCACTAACGGGTTCATAGGGCCTGGGGCTCCGGTCCGATGGATTCATGACCGCTACAGGACGGTTGCTGCCCAACTTCTGCAGCTCCTATGCGAGGGAAAAGCTGCAAACCGTGTCAATCCTTGTCTCGGAAAGCACTGGACAACCTCTTGGCAACCTGCTACTAGATCGGTGGAATTCGGATGGTGCCGGTAAACACGCAGCAGCTGCACCTCCAGCGACCCCAGTAGCCATTCAAATGTCCTGGCTGCAGGAAATGGAATGTTGCGGCTCAGGCGGCGAAATCAACAAGTCTACAGTTGTGTCACAAACCTTCCGGTGGACTGCACAATTCTGCCGATTGACAGCTCAGGTCCAGACTCTCGATCAAGGCGCAAGGTCTTGGCCAGCGTGGACGTTACCTGCAAAGGAAGGAAATGAAAAGCAAGGTACAACAAACAGCCCTGAGGGCCATCGCTACTAGGTTGGAGGCCATTACTATAAGAAACAATGAAAAAAAGAAAAGAAGAAAGGTTTCTTATAATAACAATGTTCGCTACTAGGGGCTCCTGGCATCGCTACTAGGAGCAATGTTCGCTACTAAGGGCTCCTGGCAAACCCAAAGTATTCGCTCAGCCTTCACCCAACAACACGTGTCGACGCCAGCCTTGATGGTGGCGGCGCGCGGCTCGTTGTTCAAAAGCGCCCGCTCCCCGAAATGAGACGCCGTGTCTGTATTTGCCTCACGGCCCACATCTCCAGTGGCCTTTAAAGGGCTCATTAAAGGAGCCCGTGCACTTCTCTTCTCTTTGTTTGCTTCTTGCATTGTATTTATATTCTGTTGTGCCCCCGTTTTTCTTCTCTCCTACTCTGAGAAAACCACAGTGAGTCGGGTCTCCTCCTTGCCATCCTTGATGACCGACACCTGAAGGTTTCTCTTGTGGCCAGATTGCACGCCGTCGTCTATGCCGTCCGCGAAAGCACTCAAAGCAAGCAGCTTGTCGCAAGCCCTTGATCGGCCTGCCCCTCCACGAGAATGTAAAAGGAGTCCCCTGCTTCACCTGCCAAAACTATCTCAAGGGAACGTCCACACTCTAGCGAAAGCGAGTCACAGCGTGAATCACGCCAAGCGCCTTGTTCAAATATCAGTTCACCCTCTGTGAAGGACATCTCCTGGCTTTGACTGGCGCTTAAAGCACAAATGGAGGCCCCCCCATTCCATCAGGCGATTGCAGAACACTGAGGCACTGGCGGTCAAGGACTTGGCCAACGCCTCACTGAGACAGGTAAAGGCTCAAAGCGGGAGAAGGGGTATCAAAGGCACCGTCCGACCCCAAGCACCACTATCGTCAGAATTCGCTTTATGGCAGCCGCGCCGAGCCTCTTTTTCCTCAGGCTTTAAGCTTTGGTTCAATAATTGGACCTGCTGCGTCAGAACGAAACTTCAACAGAGCTTTAGAGGGAATGCGGAATGCCACCTTTGACATGCCAATCCAAATTGTGGAAGGATTTTCGATGCCTTGGCGCTACTACTCGCTCACACAGCAAGCCTTGTCCAAATAGGCCACATACTCCTGTTCAAACTTTCATCCAACACCCAACAAACACTTGCGGGGACTATGTAGCTCATGTAACATTGTGCTCTTGATTTCCAAAAATCTCAAAACAATTTGCCTTGCATTTGTCGTTCTTATCTGCCAGAATCTTTTTGAAGTCAGACCTTCGCATCACTCCACCATCAAATGTATAGCATCAGTGGCAGCCAGCGAAAGAAATTGCGCTGCTTTGCGCAGCGATTCTTCCGCTACATGTCCCTCGAGGTCACTCGTGAGCACCCCACCTGTCCATCACCCACAGCTCAGAGTCCGACACTGCCTGGTAGAGTGTATCATGTGTCAAGCCTTTATGCACACTTCATAGCCTTTAGAACACATCTTCACTTATGAATCCGCACCCTCACAGTGGCAGCTCGCGGAGCTGTGTAAATGAGTGCTAGCCTAGGACACAAGTCAGCGAAAGCATTTCAAGAGTTTGTGACTGTCAGATCGTCATCCAAGGCATGAGCTCTCCGAAACTATTGCCAGCTTTCAGGTGACCCACACCTTGCCGGCAGCCGGCAGTTGACCCAATGTTCAATGTGCACCAATAACACCAATTAGCGTAATTAGCCAGTTCCCTTGCGTTTGAGAACGAACACGTTGCCGTCAGGTCCGACACAAGGTGCACACAAATGATGTGGTGACTGATTGTCAGTCATATTTGTGTGTGTGGGCGGAACTGAGGTAAAAGCGCTCTTCTTTGCCTGTCTCAGAGCTTGTCCTAAGTTCTAGGACTAGGATGGCAAATATATCATTCAACAATATATAGCTGCCTCCAAATGAACCTGCTGAAACTCAACTTTCAACAGCACCAAGGCCCAGTCTGCAAAACATCAAACTTTCCAGACCTGGGTTGCAATGTGAAAAAAAATGCTCAAAGTGTGGCCAACCGGGTGACCTGGGTGCAGCACTTCACAATGTAGAAGAAACTAGCGTTGATGTCGCCTTCGCTAATGACATTGAGGCCAGCCTTTGCATCTTCCTGGAAGCTTTCAAGGATGACACACTAGCGTCCCACTGCTCATACTTCCCTCGAGCTTAACCTCCTGCCTGCCAAGCACAATCGATCAACTGATTGATGGCTGCTTCATCCAGTGCCACCTTGGTGGATCATTACTGCTCCTGCTGGTGGCTTACGTCTGACAGCTTGCCTTCCAAAAGAAGAGTGTGACGCATATTGCTCTCCAAAGGTCTCTAAGCCATCCGCCAGCCCTTGCAAGTTTGAATTGTTGCTCAATGCCTGGCATTTGGCTGGTATGAGGCATGCAGCACAGTGCAAGATTCATGCCTGCTTCTCCAACTATAGCAATCAGCAGCCAGAGCAAAACTTGTGTGGCTGCACCCTTTCCATAACCTCACGCTCGGCAGGAGTCTTGTTGCAAGGTGGTTTGGCCTGAGCAATGAAGAACGTCTTCATTCTGCATACACAAATGTGTTGCCAAACCAAGATGGAGGGAGGAACAACATTCAGAACCCTTCAAACAAACCAGTGCGCCACCTCCAGTCAGCTTGAATTGAAGAACCACCAAGCATGCAAAAATTGAATGGCCCATTTTAAGGTGGTAGAAGAGTGGAAGGGCAAAGAAATCATCAATCAACCCGTGTTAATGTCTCAACCCTCTTGCTGAAACCCCATTTCAGAATCTGTGGCAAGAATCTGGCAAATTGAAGAGAATGGAAGAAGAAACCCACATGTGCGCAGTACAAAACTGGACGAATCCTGATGATATGCTCAGCACCAGGCCGCAGCAGTTTCCAAGAATCCTCCTCCAATTGCCTGCTCTACAAACAGTCCATGCGCTTGCAAGGTGGCTAGGGAAACTCACCCAACTTGATGACCCTGACCATCTACTCGGGAGTTTCCAAAGGTTTGCCCAGTCAGGTCAGGCCTTCCGTGTTTTGAAGTGCAGCTTTTCTCTCAGACCCAGCTCATCGAACTTGGAACGCCGCAAAATGATCGTGGAGAGCGGCGCTTTCCTCGGTTACGGAGGCATTTCGGAAAACAGCTGTGGTCGCGCCAGTCGACAAGGTACGCCGAAATGGTGGCTGTTCGGGGTTCGTCTCTTAAGAGCGCGTTCTCTCCAAAGTAGTCCCCCTCCTTCCATGAGTCAAAGTGAGAGCACCACGAAAGCTGTGAACGGTCTGAGAACCAATTGGGTCCTTGAGTTGCGCAACCTCCTGACCATTGACCTGGACAGACGTAATTCCCCACCTGCCGAGCGTTTCCTTTAAAACAGGCTGAGGTGAGGAACCAGGGAAACATCTTGTCAGTATATATATATATATATTTATTTGAAATCCTTATATATACCTATCGTAATACTGTAAGTAGGCTGAAAAAGGTAGCGTTGTCATCCACGCTGAGGCACTGAGGAAAATAAGAGAGCGAGAGCGAGAGCGAGAGCGAGAGCGAGAGCGAGAG